AAAAACCACTACATACAAAAGTAAAATATATACACAACCTGATATGTCATAAAAATTGCAAAATTTCCAACCCATTAATTACATGAGTTTACTATAGTATTTCCACACTTATCCTTTCTTGAATACAGTATAAGCAATTAAAATTAATTAGATTCTGATAAATTAATTTTTCAAAGCTAAACTTTTCGTGTATTTTTACAGTAAAAAATATGTCACATTTCTGGTCATGAAAAAGCACTAAAACTGAAATGCAAAAAAAATTTCATTAATTTTGTGATTATGGGATGTAAAAAAAATATACCATATACTAAGCTAGACCAAAGGTAAACCAAATAGTCTTAGAGAAACAGCACCATTTAAACATCATAAAGAGCACCAATAATACTTGAGATTACTGAATATTTATGCATCTTGTCCTGTACTTTATAATTGTATTCAATAAAAGAATGGACGGATACCTATCTACTGACTAGATAACATATCTACAATAAATATACAAAATAGAATCTTGTTCTGTGGCAAAATGTTTCATTTACATTAAGTCATAGAGCAGATCTAAATGTGCTTCATAACAGAAGTTACTCAAACACTACATATAGGTCATGGTTACCAAAATATTCTGTTTTATTTAAATCTAATTGATTAAATTTTACTATAAAAATTATCTGTTGCATTGTAATATCATCACAAATGGTTTTTGAGGTGTTGACCTAAATGCAAAATTTTAGTAAACTCAACTCTGGTGATCCAAATGTTTTTGAAATGTATTACATTGTGTTAGAGCATTGTGACCTCATTATAATAGAATTGTATTGCATTGAATAAGGAATGTAGCATACAATATTACATTACATATCAACAAATGCATGTACATCATCATTGAACACATCAACAAACACAGGTACATCACCACTGAACATATCAACAAACACATATACATTATTATTGAACATGTCAACAAACACATGTACATCATCATTGAACATGTCAAAAACACTTGAACATCATCATTGAACATGTCATTAAACACAGGTACATCATCATTGAACACATCAACAAAACCATTTACATCATCATTAAAACACGTCAACAAACACACATACATCATCATTGAACATGTTAACAAACACATGTACATCATCATTAGAAGACATTATTACATGACAATAGTTAAATTAAAAATACAAAATAAAGTTTTTTTAATGTATAAAGTATATTTAAGTGCATGCAACCACTTCAAAGAGGAAATTTTGCGAAGACCTTGCATATGTATTTTGACTAGCAATAGTAATATAATTGGAACACACCTTTTCAAAAGACATCTTTAAAATATTAACATATGTGAATTGAGAATAAATAAATGTGGATGAAGAACGGTAAAAGTGACGCTACCCAAATTTGAACTTGATCTGAGTTTTGTGGTAATAAGCATTGTGTGTAAGTCTCATAATATTTGGTTGAGGCTAACTTAAGTAGAGAACAGAAACTAAAAATTCATCAATTTTTCTATTTGTAAACACGCATAACTCTAGAACGGTTGTGTATAAGTTTTATAACATTTGGTTGAGACAAACTAAAGTTAGAGAGCGGAAACTAAAAATTCAGCAATATTTATGTTTATAAAGGGACATAACTCAAGAATGGTAAAAGTGTCGCCACCAAATTTCGTACTTAATCTGTATTATGTAGTAATAAGCATTGTGTATAAGTTTCATAACATTTGGTTGAGGCAAACTAAAGTTAGAAAACGGAAACAAAAAATTTGTACTTGATCTTAGTTTTGAGGTAATGAATATTGTGTATAGGTTTCATAATGTTTGGTTGGGGCAAACTTAAGTTACAGAATGGAAACTAAAAATTTTGCAATCTTTCGATTTATAAAGGGGCATAACTCAATAATGGTTAAAGTGACACTACCCAAATTAAACTGTGTTTTATCAGTGGAAGTCAAAATTAAACATTGCATTGTATAAAGCATTGATTGTAGTTGATTCAACTATAATCATGGATAAAGGAAGATAACTCCAATTTTAAAAATAACTTGATATTGAGAAGAAAATAAAAATTTTGCAATTTTTCCATTTATAAAGGGGCATAACTCTAGAACAGTTAAAGTGACGCCACCAAAATTCAAACTTGATCTGTGTTTTGTGGTAATAAGCATTGTGTGTAAGTTTCATAACATTTGGTTGAGGCAAACTTAAGTAAGAGAACGGAAACTAAAAATTTTGCAATTTTTCCATTTATAAAGGGGCATAACTCAAGAACGGTTAAAGTGACGCCACCAAAATTCAAACTTGATCTGTGTTTTGTGGTAATAAGCATTGTGTATAAGTTTCATAACATTTGGTTGAGGCAAACTTAAGTTAGAGAACGGAAACTAAACATTTTGCAATTTTTCCATTTATAAAGGAGCATAACTCTCAAATGGTTAAAGTGTCGCCACCAAAATTCAACCTTGATCTGTATTTTGTGGTAATAAGCATTGTGTATAAGTTTGATAACATTTAGTTGAGGCAAACTAAAGTAAAAGAACGGAAACGAAAAATTCAGCAATTTTTCCATTTGTAAAGGGGCGTAACTCTAGAACGGTTAAAGTGATGCCACCAAAATTCAAACTTGATCTGTGTTTTGAGATAATAAGCATTGTGTATATGTTTCATAACATTTGGTTGAGGCAAACTTAAGTTAAAGAACGGAAACTAAAAATTTTGCAATTTTTCCATTTATAAAGGGGCATAACTCTAGAACGATTAAAGTGACGCCACCAAAAATCAAACTTGATCTGTATTTTGTGGTAATAAGCATTGAGAATAAGTTTCATAACATTTTTTGAGGCAAACTTAAGTTAGAGAATGGAAACTCAACATTTTGCAATTTTTCCATTTATAAAGGGGCATAACTCTAGAACGGTTAAAGTGACGCCACCAAAATTCAAATTTGATCTGTGTTTTGAGGTAATAAGCATTGTGTATAAGTTTCATAACATTTGGTTGAGGCAAACTCAAGTTAGAGAACGGAAACCAATTATGGGATGTACATACGTACGTACAGACGGACAAGGGTAAAACTTAATGCCCCCACCGCTACGGCGGGGGCATAAAAATATTAAGAGAGGAGGGCAAAGAATCAATGTAGATCATGACGACTCATTTGTTCTTGTTACAGAAATGTATTATACATGTACTGTGGTAACAAACCAATATCACTGAGTCATAACACAAAATTGTACAAGTCATTGATGCATGATATATAAATATAGAACATGAAGAAAGTAATAGTCAAATATCATTAATAATTCATCACAGGTTCCTGACAAAAAAATCTTGGATACATAACAAGACCAGACCAATGCATGAGAACAAACAAAGATAAATATGTTTCGAAACATATTCAGAGCAGGTCAAAATAAAGATGACCAAACTTTGTTATTTTCTATCATATTATAATAAACTGCTTCGCTAAGCGCAGCTGGATACGCCCGCAGAGGTCCAACCCTGAATAGTTGGGGCAAAAATGGACACAATATTCAAGCTTGAAACAGGTCTGAATTTGGATTGTAATTAAAAATTTGACATATTATAGGTTTCTGAAAAAAATGTAGTCAAAGAACTTGAAATTGGTTATATGAATTGAATTTATATTCAATTAAAGATTTCTTGCTGTTGTGCAATACACTGTGCTGCTGCGCAATACTTAGTAAATCTGTTGTCAGACTATAAACAAATAAAGTTCAATTTTTTCTCAATGTCATATTTGAAGTTCATGAAAATCAATAGGGAGATTACATCAATAGCTATAAATAATTCACCAAAGTTTCTTAAGAACTGCTGAAAGCATTTTTGAGTTATTGTGCAAAAACTGGAAAATTACCACCTTTTTAATGAATAAAACCCCATAACTCAGAAATGTAAAATCTAAAATTTATAAAATTCTAAAGGGAGCTTACATCAACAGATATAAACAATTCACCAAAGTTTCATGAGAACTGCTGAAAGCATTTTTTAGTTATTGTCCGAAAACTGGAAAACCCCCCTTTTTTTATGAATAAAACCCTGTAACTTAGTAACTTTAAATCTAAAATTTATAAAAATCCACAAGGGAGCTCATGTCAATAGATATAAACAATTCACCAAAATTTCTTGCAAGTTGGTGAAAGCATTCTTGAGTTATTGTCAGAAAACTGGAAAATCCCCCCTTTTTTAATGAATAAAACCCCAAAACTCGGAAACGGTAAATCTGAAATTTATAAAAAACGAAAGGGAGCTCATGTCAATAGATATAAACAATTCACCAAAGTTTCATGCATATTGGTTAAAGCTTTTTTGAGTTAATGTCCGACATGTTGACGACAGACAGACGGACAGACGGTCAACGGTATACCATAATACGTCCTGTAAACGGACGTATAAAAATTCTAGCACCGATGCACATAACTGAACAATAAAACAATATAAACATATGTATTAAACAACAAAATAACAAAAAACTTTTTTTTAAATATTGCACTTTTATGAGTTTTTTTTTTATATTTTATTATCTTAATATTACCATTGCAAACTGTGGATCTAATTATATTCACAGATACTACATGTAGTTTTGGGTCTTCGGCAAAATTAGAAGTTTCAAAGATATTTAATTCTATAGTTAAAAATTCATACTTTTTCTACTATCAGAACAATTGTTCACTTGTATTTTGCCGAGTACATAACAATGTGTGGTCTTCCCTTAAACAGGAAAGACATAAAAATTAACATCAACATATTTCAATAATGATAAAAAATCCACAGTATGCTCATTTCAAATTAAAATACTTTAATATCAGATATACAGCATCAAAACAACACACATTGCTATCTATATTTCTTTAAACTTGCTTCAGCTAATCATATTTTTTATAAACATAATTCAAAAGATGTAATCTAACTTTCATTCTTATGGGCAACACATGGCAGCAGACCTTTACAAAACGCTCATATGTCTGGCTTTTTTCAAAAAAAAATTTTGATTTTAATTATCTCCCTCCCTTTAATAATTTTTTTCTCTCTATTTTTTGCAGGTAAAATAAATTGTTTGTGATTTAAACAAATCAGCAAAAAGAATCTCTAGTCTTAAGTGATTTCTAGGGAGGGATTTTTCAATGAAAGCTTGTGATCGTGGATGATTCACTATGAATATGTATATTCAGCATACAGTATAAGACATGTTGTAACCCTAAAGCACCCTGTTTCAACAGTGATTCATTCAACAACTGCATGAGAGATTTTTAACTGATTCAGCATGTGTGAACTGGAGCTCATTTTGTTCTTAGACAAATATTAATGTTTATTACATGTATATTGCAAAAACTGTGAAATACCTAAATGTTATTATTAACAGAATGGAATGGTGTAAATATAACTGTCAAACATTGGAATGAATCAATATAATCAATTTTTCATTGTATTTAATAATATACATAACTAAGGGATTTCATAAGTTTTTACTATTTGAATTTCCTTAGAAATTTCTAAAATATAAGAAAATAAAGATGAGAATTTTACATGTAACATTTTGACTGAATAAATAAACTGATGATACTGACATTTGACCAGAATAAACAAAAAATGAAAATAAAGTTATCTTGTGTTAATAATGAACTAAAAATGTAATGATTAAATGTAAATAAATGAAATGACTAATTTTTGCTGAATAAATGATCTGATATGCACTTAATGAAAATGAAAAAGTTTGGCACTTTGGTTTTACATAAATTGTTTGAAAGACATATTATATTTTAAGATTACCCTTGATATCAAATCTTTGATTTACACCTGAGATGTGACAAATACTGCAATGAAACTTATACAATGGTAATCAGCATTTCAAAATGTAAATTCACTGGAATCTAGCTTGTTCTGATGTAATAAAAGACTGACTTTCTTCATCCAGGAATGACGTTTCCATGACATCTACATGTACATCTTCCGAAGTCAGCATTGAATTCATACTAAGAACAGGAGATTTCAATTTTTCATGACTGATATCTTTGTTCAACTTTAAGATATTTGTAAACTGACAAGAAGTTGATGTCTGTCTTATGATATTCGGTGCCATGCTGACATGTTTAATTGCAGGTTCTTTTTTCAAGACCCTTGGTGCAAATATCTGTGTTGCTATAAGCATGTCCTTTGTTTTGGTCAATGTCACAGATTTCATTGTCAATGAATCACAGGAGTGCAAATTTGAGTTGTGGTTTTTCAGCCCATGTAATGTCTTGTAATTTTTACCACATTCACATTTATATGCCTTCTGAATGAATCTGAAAAAAGGGAAGTAATGACTTTTAAAAGACAAACTAAAACTTGATACCAATTTATTATACTTATGTTGAAATATTTACTTTGAACTGTGCATGTCAAATATTTCACTTTTTTAATTCATAACTTTTTTATGGAATATAATTTTAGCAGAATTACTACTTTATAATGAAAAATTTGTAGAAATTTAAATACCTTCACTGTTTGTATCAATGCAAATAAATCTGATATGAAAACTTAATTTGGACAAATTTGGACAAATTTGTCCATATTAAACATACCCTATATCTTTTTTATGGCCATTCCTCGCATGGTACTTCATTCCATTAATGTTTTTGTAGCTCTTTTTACAACCTGGTATAGGACAAACAATAGGTTTATCACATTCTCCTGGATTTCTGGTCAACATACTGCAATTCAACAAAAAAAAATTTAGTTAAACAATGAAGAGATAACCCAGAGATGTATCTGCAGTAAAAAAAAACTTAGCATCTCTGCGTGGTTTTCAATAAAGAAGAGTGAACTGAAATCATACAGACCAAAGGTTAAATAAACAAGATGAAAAACTATATTATACCAAAAAACAAATGCAATTACATGACAAAATACAACTAATATAACCACCTAATGTCTAATTACTGACTTTTGCACAGGCCCACATCAGCACTGCCACTACATGTACTTAATTGTCAGACCTGTGTATCTCAACTTGTTCGGCTCACTCGTGTATGTAACAACATATTTGATTTCAACGAAAGAAATCTCTGTATTACTGAAAAATTATAACACCAGGGTTTTAGATATCACAAACTAGTCAAAACATTTACTAAATTTTTATCATCGGTACAAGGACATCATTGGTAAATATACATCAACATGCAGACATCTTATACGTTCGGGTATTTCACATCTAATATTTTATGGTAATATTCTTTACAAAGCACAAAAATGTCAGCATTCACCTCAAAAGCTAACCAAACCTTTAAACAGACTTATTCGGAAAGGATATAGTTACGATACTGGTGTCAAGTCATTAAGGCTTGCATATTACAGTAATATTGATTCACTCATAGGGTCTTTACATCGGAAATAAACACATTTATTCTAAAACCAGTTATTGGCATGATATGGGTTATGTTCTTCTCATATATTTTATGATGGTATGATACTAAACCCCTTACGGGAGGGACTGTACTTGATTTTCATATGATGAAGACATAATCTTTCAATCAGTTTAATTGAGGTCTGGAGCTGGCATGTCAGTTACTGCTAGTAGTCCTTTGTTTTTTATGTATCATTGTCATTTTGCTTAGATTCTTTTGTTACCTCTCTGACTTCTGACTTGAACTTCTTTTGAACTGAGTTTTACTGTGCGTATTGCTATGTGTTTCTTTATTCTACATTGGCTAGAGGTATAGGGGGAGGGTTGAGATCTCACAAAACATGTTTAACCCCGCCGCATTTTTGCGCTTGTCCCAAGTCAGGAGCCTCTGGCCTTTGTTAGCTATATAGTCTTGTATGTTTTTTAAATTTTAGTTCATTCATATGTTTTGGAGTTTAGTGTGACGTCCATTTTCACTGAACTAAAACACAATTTTATTTAGGGGCCAGCTGAGGACCACCTCTGGGTGCGGGATTTTCTTGCTGCGTTGAAGACCCATTGGTGGTCTTCGGCTGTTGTCTGCTCTTTGGTCGGGTTGTTGTCTCTTTGACATATTCCCCATTTCCATTCTCAATTTTATCTTCCCTGTTTTTGGTGGTCAGGACCAGGACCAATGGTTTTCCAGAACTCGAATTCAAAAACTATTTCTCAAGACAAATTTTTATGTTATGAATGGACAAAAACTCTGATGATAAAGATATGTAAATAAAAGAATGATCTACAAGAAAGAAATTAACTATCATGTAATTACTGTCATAACAAAAAATATGGAATCATCTGAATAATTCCTCCATTTGTATTTTCATTCTTTTCTATTGCATAATACGACAGGATTTTCTGGACTTATGCTTTTATTAACATTGGTTCATCAATTAACAAGGTGATGATATTTCTGTATAATTTGTACCTTAGTATTAGTGGGGCAGTTAATTCCTGACTTGATGACACAGAATCATCACTTTCATACCCGTCCGTCTGCAAATCTTCTTCATCAAGTTCACTTCCTGAAACAGATTTGTCAATCTTATTTTAGTTCACAGTATTCATAAAACTTTCTTTTTTTCTGCCTTCTACCTCAGTAAGAAAATTTCATAGGCAGTTAGATTTTTAACAAGGACATGACTTACACCTTAAAATACTAATCTGTAACATGATTAAATAATCTAATTTTGGATGTAACCTGTCTTCTGATTGGCTGAAATTTTTTTTGTCTATCAATTTATAGACATAATTAGGTCATGTGAAAGTGACATCATCAATGTTTTCATGATTTACCCCTTAAAAACGGAAATTAGAATTGAATTATAAGCATGATAAGGAATGACTGTAATATTTTTTCTGTCTTTTCCAAATAACCTCAAAAATATTGTGCACACTTTTAAATAACCCGCTACACTGGTTATTTAGTGTGCACCAAATTTCTTCATTGACAGAAAAAATATAAAGGTCATTCAAAACTTTAATCAACATATTATTTATATGCAAATGTGGCAGAAGATAGAAATATTTTTTCTGCTAGAGGTCACTTTTACAATTTCTTTTTAATTCTGTTTTACTAGTCCAGTACTTTATTATCACACAGTTTATTTTCAAATTATGAACTAATATTAGAATAGAATTTATTTCAATCCATGTAAACTTATATTATGAATGCAAGTTTCAAACTAAAAACCAAAATAAACTTATAACTAACTTCTAACAGAGATGAATGTGTGTGTTTTTAAAATCTGCATTTATGAGTCATGATTTTCAACAAGATAATTGTACTAAAACAAGTAATTTAAGTCATAGTCAAACATTTTTGTTTCCTCTCACAATGCTCAGATAATACTCTGGTAGTATTGGTCTGTTAATATCTACTTACATATAGGTGTTCTAGATCTACTCCTGAGAGAGGATGATCTACTTACCCATAGGTGTACTACTCCTGAGAGAGGAGGATCTTCTTGCCTATAGGTGTACTTCTCCTGAGAGAGGAGGATATTCTTGACTATAGGTGTACTTCTCCTGAGAGAGGAGGATCTTCTTGCCTATCATGCCTATAGGTGTACTATTCCTGAGAGAGGATCTACTTACCTATTGGTGTACTACTCCTGAGAAGGATCTACATTTGTACTTACCTATAGGTGAACTACTCCTGAGAGAGGAGGATCTACTTACCTACAGGTGTACTACTGAGAAAGGAGGATCTACTTACCTATAGGTGCACTACTCCTGAGAGGAGGATCTACTTACCTATAGGTGTACTACTCCTGAGAGAGGAGGATCTACATTTGTACTTACCTATAGGTGTACTACTACTGAGAGAGGAGGATCTACATTTGTACTTACCTATAGGTGTACTACTACTGAGAGAGGAGGATCTACATTTGTATTTACCTATAGGTGTACTACTAACAGAAGAGGATTTACTTACCTATAGGTGTACTACTCCTGAGAGAGGAGGATCTACATTTGTACTTACCTATAGGTGTACTACTACTGAGAGAGGAGGATCTACATTTGTATTTACCTATAGGTGTACTACTAACAGAAGAGGATCTACTTACCTATAGGTGTACTACTCCTGAGAGAGGAGGATCTACATTTGTACTTACCTATAGGTGTACTACTCATGAGAGAGGAGGATCTACATTTGTACTTACCTATAGGTGTATTACTCCTGAGAGAGGAGGATCTACATTTGTACTTACCTATTGGTGTACTACTGAGAGAGGAGGATCTACATTTGTACTTACCTATTGGTGTACTACTGAGAGAGGAGGATCTACATTTGTACTTACCTATTGGTGTACTACTACTGAGAGAGGAGGATCTACATTTGTACTTACCTATAGGTGTACTACTCCTGAGAGAGGAGGATGGAGATACTGGTCTCACTTTGCACTTTAGATCAGCATCTGTGTAAAATCTGTCAATATACAAATATGTTTGCAAATTCTCAATAAAACAAATTGATAATTTCTATTAGAGCTATATGTAAATATATGCTATTACAAAATTACTGTTCCTTTTAGTTTTTCTTGATCTAGCCATAACCTATTCTTATCTATAACCAAAATTATGTGTTTTTTTCTACAATCCAATAAGAATTGTTTCTATTTTGATAATTTTCACGGAATGAAATATAATACGAATAGGAATACAAATACAAATTCTTTATTAAATCCAATTAAAGGGCCTATTTCTGAGCATATATATATATATGATAAAGTATATAATAATACATGTATTATCAGGGGTGGATCCAGCCATTTAAAAAAGGGGGGTTCCCAACCCAGGATAAAGGGGGGGAGGGGTTTCCAACCATGTCCCCATTCAAATGCATTGATCATCTGAATAAAAAGGGGGGTTCCAACCCCCGGAACCCTCACCCTGGATCTGCCACTGATTACATTACCAATTAAAAAAGGTTGGTTTTTCGCAACAATTGAATACAACTGGCAATGTTTCTGTTAACACTTTACTTCTGCTTTGATCTTTAATTTTTTGTACAGCCAAATTAATCAATGAATGATTGTTATTTTTTAAAAGGAACATGGATGAACTCCACAGAGAACAGTAGCTATTGTATTTATTCAATGGGGCAATTCACTTTGCAAAAATTTTAATAACCAAATGAACAGGTACTGATTCAAGGAAGGTATGATTTCCTTATAGACACATAATATGTAAGATTATGTAAGTGAAGTATTTGAGCACCTCATAATTGATTTTTCAAATGTCTTAAACATATGTTTATCTAAATATTCTATGAAACATACCTAAGTATATAACTAGGAGCTAATGATTGGGGTTGTTCTAGTTCTTGATGCTCTAATTGTGAGGGATCTGTTTCTATAAATAAAACAATAATTAATTACTGTGTAATTTTGGAAATAAGAAAAGAAAAAAATGTAAAGGATAAGAGGATGATGAAAGTTAGAGAAAGATGTTGAAGTACCAAATTATTTTCAAATACCAAATTTACAAATTTCACTATTGTAGTTAAGCTTACATACATGTAGATATGAAAAATTTAATATTTCACTGAAAAATTCTTTCCAAATGTTTCATATGGTATTTTTGCAATCTTTGGTTCACATGGTTTCATGGGAGTAGACTAAAATATGAAAATTTAATAGTTGACGGATGATGGATGGCATATTCTCCTCCATTTGAAAAGAAGAATGACACATTCAGCAACACATTTTTGGCCGTACTGAATTTTTAGCCAAGATGCTATATGAAATAATGCTAAAATGTGATCAATAAAATATTTGAAGAATTCTAGAGAATGTATATTAATTATGTTCTGGTGAAATATGAGACTATTATCTGATCAAATTGTAAATGGAAATGAATATAAACTATCATCAATATATCAATAAAGTATTAGCTTCATAAAGATTAGCAGATTTGAACAAGAAAATCCTTTTCTTGCTACCGGTACATGTATCTTTCATTGAATGCCTTGCCAGGGTACATCTACATATAGCTACATGTACATGATCAGTAAATATTTCAATTGTTTATTTGTCTCAGAATTAATTTAATTGGTAAAACAGATACAGGTCAGACATATCTGCAAATATGAAACTAAGTTTTTACACTACAATCATGACAATAAAACCGAATAATTCTCGAATGAAATGGACATACATTTATTCTGGTAAAACATAAAAGGATAACAGGAATTGCTATTGGGCATTTCTTTAAAAACAAATTAAATGCTCAGCTGGGCGCAGCTTGATACAACCGCAGAGGTTGAACCCTGAACAGTTGGGGCAAGTATGGACACAACATTAAAGCTTGATACAGCACTGAATTTGGATTGTGATTAAATATTTGACACAGCATAGGTTTCTGACACAGAATGAATGTGGTCTAAGAACTTAAGGATTTTTAATTTACCTACTTAAACCATATCATTATTATTTGCTTTTATATATAAATCAGAAATAACCAATTTAAAATGGAAAATTTTAAATAAAAAAAAAGGAAACCCCCCCCCCCAAATTTTTGAACCTCCTTATGATTCATCACCCATCCCAGCCTTCCCTTTGTGGTATGGTACTTTGCAGTACAATTTCAGAGAGATCCATACACTTACACACAAGTTATTGTCCTGAAACTAGAAAAGTGCTTGTTTTTTGCCCCTTTTTGGCCCATAATTCCTATAATTTTGAGGGAATTACCCCAAAAATCAACCCCAGCCTTCCCTTTGTGGTATGGTACCTTGCAGTACAATTTCAGAGAGATCCATACACTTGAACACAAGTTATTGTCTGGAAACTAGAAAAATGCTTGTTTTTTGGCCCCTTATTCCTAAACGTTTTGGGCAATTACCCCCAAACTCAATTCCAGCTTTCCCTTTGTGATATGGAACCTTGTAGTACAATTTCATAAAGATCCATACACTTACACACAAGTTATTGTCATGAAACTAGAAAAATGCTTGTTTTTTTCCCCTTTTTTGGCCCCTAATTCCTAAAGTTTTGAGGCAATTACCCCCAGAATCAATCCCAGCATTCCCTTTGTGATATGGAACCTTGTGGTACAATGTCAGAGAGATCCATACACTAACACACAAGTTATGTCTGGAAGTTACAAAAATGCTTATTTGTGGCCACTTATTCCTTAACTGTTGGTACCATAACCCCCAAAATCAATCCCAACCTTCCTTTTGTGGTATTGAACCTTATGGTAAAATTTCATAGAGATCCATTCACTTAAACTAAAGTTAGAGTGCGAAAACCAATGTGTCTTCGGACGACGACGACGACGCCAACGTCATACCAATATACGACCACAAAATTTTTTGCGGTCGTATAAAAATCAATAATTGAATTTTTGACAATAAATTATGTTAAAAGATTTGTTTAAATGTATAGTTATAATAGACTAAATGACGACGCCAACGTCATACCAATATACGACCACAAAATTTTTTGCGGTCGTATAAAAATCAGTAATTGAATTTTTGACAATAAATTATGTTAAAAGATTTGTTTAAATGTATAATTATAATAGACTAGTTTAAGAATAATACAAAAATTCTGTTAAAAAAAAAGTCTTTTTCTTATCAAAGACAAAGTTCTGTCAAAATTTAATTGTGACTTTTTGTCCAGCATTCAATTACTGTTGGTACTAGTCGTGAAATACATGTACATATTATGATTTATGAAAGTGTTCAAGTCAATATTAGCCATTATTTGTAAAATACAAAAAGTAAGAATATGTGGTATGATTGCCATATCTCATTGGCAATCATACCTGTACACATCTTCTTATTTTTATAACTTTCTAACAGAGACCAAATGACATAGAAGTTAGCAACTACAGGTCTATATGTTCTCTTTTCTTATAATAAGGGAAATTCTACATGGCCACAAGATGGACAATGCTATTCTATATAAAATACTTGAGTAAAAGATAAAACAGAAGCAGTGTGTTAGCTAGGATTTAAGAACAGAGGGGGACCAGTTTAAAGATGACGGACACAATAGCACAGTTTCGAGTCTGAAAAGTGACATCTCTATCATGCTTATAGATAGAAAATTGAATTAACATAATAAATATGTTTGATTTATAGTATTTTGGCGTTACAAAAACTGTTTTCCAGTGAGTGGTTAAAATGATTTTTTTGTTTGTTTCATGAGTATTTACATGTATCTCTTTCAGAAAACAAAGATGCAAAGGCATTGACTATACTTGCAGAGGGGTGCACAGAAAGTGGAAGGGAACTGGACACAAATAGAGCAGAGGGGAGTACAGAAATGACAGGGGGAGCCTGCTCCCTATATTTTGGGCTAGCTGGGACACTGAGAAGATTATAGATTCTTCAAACTTTCTATTTTCAGCTGCATTAGATTTTAATCAAACTGTTGAAAATACAGGAAATAATTGATTGCTTAAAAAAACACTTTTATTACATGTAGTTCTCCTCCCCTGTTTACATGTAAATGTATGTGATTTGATTTTTGATTTTTGGTGTTTTTACGCCACTTTTAAGCACCGCTTTTGGGCTATTTCGTGGCGGCCAGTTTTTATTGGTGGAGGAAGCCGGAGTGCACGGAGAAAACCACCGACCTTCGATAGGAAAACTGACAATCCTAGTCAATTAAGATTGGAGTCGAGTGCACCTGCACGAGCGGGGTTCGAACTCACAACCTCAGTGTTGACTGGCTAGTGATTGCAGTAGTAACTACTTAGACCACTCGCCCACCGAGGTCCTTAAATGTATGTGATTGGTATGCTGATGTTTTAGTGATTAAATTTTAATACCTAAATGTAGACCTAGCATACTCTCATTGGCAATCATGCCACATCTCCTTATTTTTATATTGACAATAAATGTAATAGATAAAATGGCACATATTTTTTTACCTTTAAAAATCATATATTTTACAGAAAAGTTATGATTTATAAATGTTGAAATAATCAATGTCAATTATATTTATCTTAAGTATGCATTACCAGAGACATATTTAGTATACATGTCTCTCAGGCATTACCAATTTCAAGTTTTTGGTGAATAAGTTAACCTGAGGTTAACTGGCATATTTAAATGACGTTATTGAACAATTGACTCTTATAGTGACAAAATAAGCATTGTGATATTGGTAATGTACAGGAAAATGTGTAACAGCCACTATGTTCCGTCAGTTACTTTGTTCTGGCGGAACTTTTCAACTAGCTATTTCGTTATGATGGAACTTTCCAACTAGTTGTTTTATTCCGAGTGCAGTCGAAAAGTTCCGGAAAAAAGTAGCTAGTTCAAAAGTCCCGGAACAATGTAGCTAGTTGAATAGTTCTGGCAGAACAGAACAACTAGTTACATCATTCCGAATATACCATATTTCATCCTTTTTGTAGAAAGAGGGGGAAGAATGAGTATCAGTATATATAAGAGCAAATCATTAATTTACAAGAATACCCAACACACTGAAAGGGGTTTCTTTGGGGACAAATATGCAAAATTTAAGTTGTATTTCATAGCTCACATAAAACGGAATAAGTTGCATTATCATGCAAATTTAGTATCCATAGTACCCTCAAGAGAGGGAAGAATACCCCCCTCCTCATGTGGTTCTTTGCATCAATTCTCCAAATGGAACTTTGTGACTGGTTGATAAGTTCCTTTTGACTTTAGTAATCAGTATCTTGGTTTCCCTTTGAAATGTTCAAATATAATATGTTGCACTTTTACTTTGCATCAATTCTCCAAATGGAAACTTTCTGCATGGTTGATAAATTCCGTTGGAACTTTTGGGCTAGTTTTTTAGTTCGGGTTTTGACTAATTTGACAAAAAGGAACTTTCTAACTAGTTGATGTGTTCCCTTGGAACTTTTCAACTAGTCACTTTGTTCCGGTGGAACTTTTAAACCAGAGGAAGAACAAAGTAACTAGTTAATAAGTTCCTCCGGAACTTTTCGGCTAGTTAGTTCTTTCCAACGTCGGAACAAAAGAGCATTTACAAATGCACATATGTGATAGTACACATATGTGATAGTAGTCTATATAACTATGTGGTAATAAGTGAGAGTCTTGGTGGGGTTTACAGAATAGATAATATTGGGATAAAAAAATTAGAATGGAGAAAAACAGGCCAAAATAATAAAGAATAATGGGGTCACGGGTGTTAAAATATAAAAAAAATAGAGAATAATGGGCAAAAGATATAAAAAAAAAAAGGAGAAAAATGGCGTAGAAAAATTAATACAGAATAATTGAGGGATACACCTGACCCTCGTAAATGAGCTAATCCATGGATATACACCTTATCGCTATTTAGTCCAATCTGGAAAAAACAGTCATTTAGACAACTTCCTGTTTGGGTCAACAGGCCCTGAACAGGTAAACAACAAAGGTCATCAGTAACATGCTGAGGGAGGGAAAAATTTAGAAAGCAAACAATACAAAACTTTGATAGATTATGATCCACTTTTTCGAAAGTCAAATTATAGTCAAATAAATGTGGATAGTGTCCACATGTGGACACAGATGATGCCCCCGCTTGCATATCATATAGTTATAAAGGGACATAACTGAAGAACGGTAAAAGTGACGCTACCCAAATTTGAACTTGATCTGAGTTTTGTGGTAATAAGCATTGTGTGTAAGTCTCATAACATTTGGTTGAGGCTAACTTAAGTAGAGAACAGAAACTAAAAATTCAGCAATTTTTCTATTTGTAAACACGCATAACTCTAGAACAGTTGTGTATAAGTTTTACAACATTTGGTTGAGACAAACTAATAAATTCAGCAATTTTTATGTTTATAAAGGGACATAACTCTAGAATGGTAAAAGTGTTGCCACCTAATTTCGTACTTAATCTGTATTACCGGTATGTAGTAATAAGCATTGTGTATAAGTTTCATAACATTTGGTTGAGGCAAACTAAAGTTAGAAAACGGAAACAAAAAATTTGTACTTGATCTTAGTTTTGTGGTAATGAATATTGTGTACAGGTTTCATGTTTGGCTGGAGAAAACTTCAGTTACAGAATGGAAACTAAAAATTTTGCAATCTTTCGATTTATAAAGGGGCATAACTCAATAATGGTTAACGTGACACTACCCAAATTCAACTTGATCTGTGTTTTGTCAGTAGAAGTCAAAATTAAACATTGCATTGTATAAAGCATTGATTGTAGTTGATTCAACTATAATCATGGTCAAAGGAAGATAACGCCAATTCAAAAAATATATTATAAACTTGATATTTAGAAGAAAATAAAAATTTTGCAATTTTTCCATTTATAAAGGGACATAACTCTAGAACAGTTAAAGTGATGCCACCAAAATTCATACTTGATCTGTGTTTTGTGGTAATAAGCATTGTGTATCAGTTTCATAACATTTGGTTGAGGCAAACTAAAGTTAGAGAACGGAAACTAAAAATTTTGCAATTTTTCCTTTTAGAAAGGGGCATAACTCTAGATCGGTTAAAGTGACGCCACCAAAATTCAAACTTGATCTGTGTTTTGTGGTAATAAGCATTGTGTATAAGTTTCATAACATTTGGTTAAGGCAAACTTAAGTTAGAGAACGGAAACTAAAAATTTTGCAATTTTTCTTTTTATAAAGGGCACAACTCTAGATTGGTTGAAGTGATGCCACCAAAATTCAAACTTGATCTGTGTTTTGTGGTAATAAGCATTGTGTATAAGTTTCATAACATTTGGTTGAGGCAAACTTAAGTTAAAGAACGGAAACTAAATATTTTGCAATATTTCCTTTTATAAAGGGGCATAACTCTAGATCGGTTAGAGTGACGCCACCAAAATTCAAACTTGATCTGTGTTTTGTGGTAATAAGCATTGTGTATAAGTTTCATATCATTTGGTTGAGGCAAACTCAAGTTAGAGAACGGAAACCAATTTCCGGATGTAAGGACGGACGTACATACAGACGGACAAGGGTAAAACTTAATGCCCCCTCTGCTAAGGCGGGGGCATAAAAATATTTTGTTTGAACATGTTGAAGTATTTTCGATGTTTTAAACAGATCTCATTAAAAAGTATCATGCATGATGGCATTGATGCATTGTTTAAACAGGGCCCAAGATAGCTTCAACTGGATGAAAAAGTTGTGTAATTTTAGAACTTATCCGGAATGGAATAAATAGCGATTAGGTGTATACAATGACAATGTATACCTGGAAGATGCATGTAAGATCGTTGTGGGGCTCATACATGTATGGAAGGATCTGATTTCAACGTTTTATTTCCTTTTAATGTACCAAAAAGGCTATTTATTCAACGTCCCTGCAGTCTGGTAAATGTTATAGATTAACATGATCAGATGTCATGCCTTCGAATAGACTGTAACTTCAGTGTAACACAGTTTCATTGCACTGATCAGCTGATAGTAGTGGGGATTTCCAGATTTAGAGTGACGTCACTGACATTTTCCCGCACTTCCAAGGTGTAAACAAATACCCGTGAAAAGCGTCTCGACATATTTTATATAGATCATGCATAAAAAACGAAGAACAACAATATACCAATATGCGTGTCTTCTATATGGCGAATCAAGTCTCCTAACGACTGGAATTCCAGTCCACAGCCCAAATATTTACACTCGTTAATCAGGAAGACCGCCATCTGCGCAGTAGAGTAAAAATGTGATCGGTTGACCTTTCATCTAATTTGCATAATCCGAAAATATCCGAATATTTCTTACCATTAACGATAAAATTATTGAAAAACGATTTTCTAACTAAAACCAAAGCAAAATATGGCTAACAAAAACCGCCCTAACACCAATAAATAATGAAAAAAGTGTAGTTTACCGGAAATAGCAAGGAGCATGCGCAATGGTAACCTCCTCTGCCGGACGACGGGTAAGCTATTGTAGAAATCTCACTGCTTATTGAATCTCTTTCATCCTGTTTATGACAGCGCTTTAAATTTTCAAGTTGATAATTTATTAGAGGAAAAACATATTTTTAATTCTATATAGCATTGTTTTACAGTTGCAAAAATCGTACTTCATTTACCTAGCGATACTTAAATTTGACATTGAAATATACCGGTAATTTTTTTGCAGATACATATATAGGTAAACAGCCGAACAACAAACATGTACTGTACAAAGTTGATGACACCGGCCAGTAGATGCATGGTATGTTTTAATATGCTAAGTAGGGAATGAATCAAATATGAATGCAAGGAAATATTGTGGTCATTTGTGTATATTTTCATGTTTTAACAAGCGTTTATACAAGTTTATGGCTGCAACTGAACCAGTTTTATTTGGGAGTTTGATTTAAATTTGCCAGTGTAAGGTTTGATTTTACAAATCAAGAGCAACATTTAGTGAATTTTAAACTTCTTAAACAACTACGAATTTATCATAAAATCAACATGGGAGTTTAGAAAAAAGGTATATTTATAATGTCATTGTGGCGACCTTTGACCTGTCATTTCCAAAAATGAATTGATTACTGTTATAAATGAGCATATTTCAAAGTTGTATATTATGCAAAAATGTTTGATAAGTCTTGCAATTAAATCCCTTAATAAATAGTGGGAAACTTCAGATTTTCCATAGACTTATCACTATCAATGATGCATTTGTCCTTCAAGGACATTGAATTCAGAGGTGCACACAAATTATAAACAAGATTAGTGTGGTACATTAGAAGATTAGCACCCATGGCTAAATTACTGAAGACCTAAAATTCATTAAAAAAGCTCTTCAAATTTTCAAGGTTGTTGTGAAGGTCTCCTTGGCCAAACCAAATTCTTTTGTTTATTGCAGATATTTTATAATTCAATACTTTTAATTGATGTACTTGAAGGCTTAAAATATATATATTTGATTCCTGTCTCTTGGCAGAAAAATAAATGGGGGAAGGTACATGTATGAAGGTAGTTTTTTTTTATTTTACATGACAATACAGAGAAATGTACTGTAAAAGTGTACAACTATAAATGTGTTTTGAGTAGGAATAAAAATTAAGGGTAGGTAGTGAGGCAAGAAACACGATTATTTTTTTAAGATGGAGCACTCAGCATTGAAATCTGTTCTTGTGTTATATTCATTTGTTTATGAATTCATACTAAATTTTGATTTGCAGTAATCCTATCTAGAACAATGTCTTCAAAGTCTGATAAGATATTATAGTGTGAAACTTTTCATTTTACAGGTTGCAGGTCGCGTTTTAGCCAGACCTTTAAGCAGTGCAGCCGTTTCACAAAACCAGGAGGTATGTTGTTAAATGTAGATGCATATATATGTATATCTGGTGACTGAACTATTTTATTTGTGGATTACCTTGAACAAAAAATATAAAAGATTTGGGATATACATCAATGAGAGGTAACCAAATGTCATAAATAACCCAAGACATTCAGAGGGTGACATAGTTTTCATCAATATACTTATCACTTGATATGTCTTTTCCTGATTAAGAATGCTTTTTTTGTTTAGATGTGATGTCTTTTGTCATAACTTTGACTATTACCAAGTTTCATGAAAATTTGCAGAATTGTACACTACAGGAAGGGAAACTACAACCAATAATTTAGTAGCCACCTGGGTCCCTATCTTAAAATATATATGGACCCATGGTCATGGTTGAAAAAACTGAAATATCTTGTCTGGGACTAATATCATGACTGGATTTGACATTTCTAGTAGTAGTAAACATTATCTTTATTTTTAGCTCACCTGGCCCATAGGCCAATTCAAATCTGATTTGATTTATATTTTGGGGTTTTACTACCTAATATGTCCTAACTTGTGACCTACAACCAATTTAACAATAATTTCTAATATGCTCAACAGATATTGTCAAAATTGGAACACTAAATCGTTGATGTATTGTAAATTCACCTTATCGCTATTTATTCCAATCCCGATAAGTTCTGAAATTACACAACTTTTTCAACCAGTTCAAGCTATCTGGGACCCTGTTTAAACAATTATTGTGCATAAAACTTCTTAAAACCACCGTAAACACTTCAAAGCATTTTTATTACTTGAATTTGTGTTTAAAAAAGTGGATCATAATCTATCAAAGTTTCAAACTGTTCTCTTTCTAAACTTTTTTCTCCCTCAGCTCCTTACTGATGACCTTTGTTTTTGCAACCTTTGACCCAAACAGAAAGTTGACTAAGTGACTGTTTTCTGGATTGGACTAAATAGCCATAAGGTGTATATCACCTGAATATCCCAATTTACTATATTCCTTTGGCAATATTTCCATGAGTTAACATGGGTTTTGATCAATTTGTCCGCATAGTTTGATAAAATAACTTGGTGGATATAACAATTGATTATATTGTGTCCATGAAAGATTTTGAAGAAATTCTCATAAAAACCATAGCTCAAACAAGGGTTGGTCAGAAAAAGATGGTAACCAGCTTCCTGTTGTTCCATAATTAGTTGTTGTCGTAGTCTCCATGGTTTGGGATTACCTAAAATGTTGACTTTATAGCAAACAAACAAAAAATTATTTTCTTAACTTTTAAATTACCACTTGCTGTTCCTTATTTATTATATGGGGAATCTCTAGTTTTATGACTTATTCCTAACCTTATGTTACTTTTCGTTTGCTCTTGACTATCAAAAGAACCAACTTAGTTATAAAGCATGTTAAAAAATTCATCTAACAATTTTATTTGAAGGTTTAAGCCAGTGTTTAACTTAGTTTGTATAACAGTTGTAATGTTCATCTTTTATTTGTTATGCCCCCACCATAGTGGAGGGGGGCATAAGTTTTACCCTGGTCCCTCTACGTCCGTCCCAAAATTGGTTTCTGTTCTCCAACTTTAGTTTGCCTCAACCAAATACTATGAAACTTATACACAATGCTAATTACCACAAAACACAGATCAAGTTTGAATTTGGGTGGCGTCACTTTTACCGTTCTAGAGTTATGTCCCTTTACAAATGGAAAAATTGCTGAATTTTTCATTTCCATTCTCTAACTTAAGTTTGCCTCAACCAAATGTTGTGAAACTTATACTCCATGCTTATTACCACAAAACTCAGATTAAGATCAAATTTGGGTTGCGTCACTTTTACTGTTCTTGAGTTGTGTCCCTTTATAATGTTATATGCAAGCGGGGGAATCATCTGTGTCTCATGGACACATTCCCCATTTATTTTAGTTTATTTCTTTCTTACTGTTTATTTTATTTTACAGGTAGCCCCAAGGAGTAGTCTATCTGCCTATAGTGGTTTGTCTGGTCAAAGTATTGTTCCAGTGAACTCAAATTTTTCACCAATTATTAATCAGGTAATTATATGTGTTAGGTAGTAACTTGTACAAAAACGTCTTGTTTAGTTAGGAATTTATTTTAAGAGTGGTGTACATGTACATTTTACCCTTTAACAAGAAGTTTTCAACATCAACAATGTGAAATCTTATGATTAGGTCAAATTAAGGGGAGCCTCTGATGGGAGGATAATGATATTTGGTATGTGTTTGTATTTAGCATCTGCACATCTCATTTCCATGAAGATTATTTTGCTCCACCCTCAGTCATTATCTATTGACTGAAATTTTTTTTTTAATAGTTAACATGGTTTGTGATTAGGTCAGATTAAGGAGAACCTCAAATTGTAAGTCTGATATTTGTGTGGCAGTTTCATTAGCGCATCTCATATCCATGTTGATTATTTTGCCCCCACCCATCATTCAGGGGCTATTGACTTTGGATGTTTTTTTTTATTTTACATGTTGGTTTGCTTAAAGGTTAGGTCAAAATGAAGCACTAATGGTATAAAGTCAGTGATATTTGGATTACAGTTGAATTGACATTTGCACTTCTCATTTCAATGGAGATTTTATGGCCCAGCCACTCAATCATGGATCATTGATTTTAAAATGTTTACATGTTAGTTTGTGTTTAGGAACCACTTATTACAAGTCAATGATTTTGTCATGTTTCATTTCAGTCTGAGATTTGCCCCTCACCCTTTATTCATGGTTGATTGGCTTTGAATGATTTGCATAGTTTACACATTAAAGTATTGCCATTTAATTTCAACACTTCCACTTACATGTTACAAAAATTTGGGTTAGTAAGCAAACAGTTTTAGTTTTCCAATTTTTATTGACCAATTAAACGAGTGAAAGAGTCTTGACTTTCTAGTGCTTTTTCAGAAATGACAAAACAATCTGTAGGGTTGATAATGTTAGCAGAAACATAAGTATTTTTTTAGGCCTAATTGAGTTAATTCTTTGTGGTGGTCACAAAATAAATTTATCCAGTAACTCCCAAGTCCTTAAATTTATTTGAAAATGGAACAACAGTATTTTTCAAAAAGTGAAAATGTTTTGCAAGAATTTATGTAACTATGAATTAATGTGTTTTTGAATTTCAATTTCAGATTAGAAATTTCCAAACTAGTGCATCACGAAAAGATATTGATCAGGCTGCCAAATATATAGGTGCTGGAGCTGCCACAGTAGGAGCAGCAGGCTCAGGTAATAATTGTATTTTGTAGTTTTAATAGGTGATTTAAGTTTAAAATTCTGAAT